TTTTTTTTTTTTTCATTCCACTCGACGAAAGTAGGCGTGTACGGCTAAGTGTAAAGCTCGTATCATATTTATATCGAAGCGAAACGAGTTGAGCCGAGTATTAGGCTCGTTAGTACGATAATGTCGCAACACTCCGGTGCTTTCGGCCGTCAGACCAGGGCCATGATGACAAGCAGCATAACAGACTGGTAAAACAACTATGTAGTTTAGCCAGAGTACAGCATCCAGACACAGCATCCAATTGACGAGCAAATATTGGCCAGCTGATACACATACACACACACACACACATGCATGCGCATATATACATACATACACACAAAGTAAAAAAAGTTCTGCTATGAATTCCATTTTTTCGGGGTTTAAGCTACGTTGAGTTTCCAAGGTACTTTTAGTACTTATTAGAACGCCCTGCGTAACGGATGAGCATACGGAAGAAGTGCAACTCGTACACGCTAGCAAAGTACTTACCTTCGATTATTTTACTTAACAAGTAAGAAAATGCATGCGTTCGCTTCGGTTGTATTGATTGACCGTGCCGTGTCTGGAGTATGTACTTAGAAAAAACTGAATCGTTAATCGTGCGGAAAGTGTTAAGGCATTGCCGTTTTGTCAACACATTTGCCGAATTTTCCAAGTGAGTGTGTGCGGTGTGAAGTGTATGCAGAGGGGGTAGGAGAAGAATTATGTGCTTTGGCAAACACCAAAGAAGTTGCTTATTAAATATTTACTTACTTAGTTAAATAGTTAAGTTTGTGTGTTGCTCTTATTTTTTGTTTACTTCGTTTTCTTTGCTTTTGTAGCGAAATCCTTTATTATTCGCAAATTATGTAAATGAAATGAATGGTAAGCGGCTTATCGCCACGCACCAAAGACGTACGCAATCTTCGCACTTAGCCAAATCAAAGAAAAGCCAAAGCGACGAAGACATATAGATAAACACGTGCATGTGTAATAGCTTTGAAACGAAGAAACCAGAACCAGCAAGCTCGTGCAAATGCTATCGCGTGTGTGTGCGTATATGTGTACTCGGAAAGCAAGCGGAAATTCATGTGGAAAAAAAAACATAAAACTAAGTGTGTACTTGTAAGGGAAAAAATGCTATAAAAGCAAACAAAGTGAAGACGCACTTCAAGTGGTGAAGTGCTACAGCTATGATTTATTTGTTTTCATACCAAGAAAAACTTATAAGATGCCAAAATAGAACACAAAAGCTACAAAAATGTGAAGTTAATTGTTGTCATGCTCAACAGAGATCTTAACATCAGACTCAATTTGGGGGAAGAAAATATAAAAAATAAACAAAAATTATGTAAAATAACGCAATCTAGATGAAAAGATAACACAAATCAATATAATTGCTAAAAAAGTTGTTAAACAAAATAACGGTTTATTTTACACATTTGTTAGAGGAACAAAAAAATAGACATACAAAAAAAAATAAGTAAATTAAAAAGTAATAATTTAAAGCTTATCTAGTAAATGAAAAAAATATCTGTGCTAACCGGAAAAAACAATGACCGAATATATTGAATTCGCATCGCTGACCTGTCGCTGATGTTTGCACTATGTTAAAGAATTGGTTTGCTTTTAAACAAAGACTTTTATCTATAAATATTTTGTCATAGTTATATTTATAATAACACACACAGAATGTGTTTTGAAAATAAGAAAAAAAAAAAATACATATTAGCCCTTACTCTCCATAAAAAAAATTGGTCCACCGGAATTATAAAATTTGTTATATTTTAAGACTTCCGCTAAAATATTTCGAAAAACTATTAGGATTTACTTGAGCTGGATCTATTTGAAAAGACCTTCAAATATCGAGTTTTTCATATGTACATTAGGGTGGTCCTTAAATATAGGAAGTAAATTTTTACATCAGATTTCCTAAGCATCAACCCCTTACGTCGATGCTGTTATAGTGGACGATGACACGTATAAATTTTCGTCCCGATTGGAGACGGTTAAAGAATCTTTACTCTGCCCCTTCTGCGGCACGCCTTAACCGTCTCCAGTCGGGGCTAAAAGTTATGCGTGATATCTGTGACCGTGTTGTTACCCATCGAAGGGGTGAGACTGAAAAAAATCGTTCATTGGCTTTTTGAGGGCCAGCTTGATGTACATAAATAAAGTTAGTTCTGCAATCTAAAAATTTACCTCGGATGATAAAACAGTTTAAGCTTAAAAGGTCTGTCTAAACATTTTTTTAAATTTTATCAAAATAATGAGAATTTTTTGAGGTGTTTTCAAATCGGTCTAGCTAACGTAAATCCTAAAATTTAAGAAATTTTATAATTCCGGTGAAAAAACCGTATTTATTTTTGGATGATGCACCCTAATGCATGAACATAGATATATATGTAAGCACGATGAATTCGAATTTCTGGAGGATTTCGAGAAGCCGGTCGCATGTATCGAGAGTTACTTATTATGCCTGTATGTAGTTGGTACATCATCTCGCCCGTGCTCGAGTGCGCACCGGAAATGCCATCCAGCTTCTGCTGCGCATTCCTTTGCTGTTTGTGGCTCATTGTTTTTTATTCTTTTTTTTTATATTGTGGCAAACTTAGTATCTACTCTGATCAGCAAACGGAATATTTATTGCCCGCTATATCAACGCACTTTAATGCGGTAGAGCCAGTGTCACTTCTCGGCGCAGATAGTTGTTAAAGTCTTCCCTACCTGATCCCAAGCAGGTTTTCTTCAAACACAAAATGTACCTCAGAGTTTTGCAATATAAAACAGATCAAAAAGTTTCGCGAGTATCAGACATAAACAAAAACAAGTTAGAAAGTCTAAGTTCGGGCGGAGCCGAACATTAAATACCCGGCGCAAGTATTAAATATATGTTTTTTCACCTTTCCGAAACCTACCGCTAGATGGTAAGCCGGGGTGTATCAATTTTGAGTAAATCAGCGTCCTTCAATTTCGAAATATTGAAGTTTCAAGCATTTCCGAAATTTACCGTTATATGAAAAGCGGCCGTTATTTTAGTCCGATTTCAATAATTTTTAACAATTGGCTTTTATGTGGAAAGCACAATAACTGTACCGAGGTTGGTACAAATTGGTAGAACGGTTACCGATATACGTATATGTTATCATAAGTGGGCGGTGCCACGTCCATTTTCCAAAATTTTACCATAAACGTATTTCTTGGTAAAGAGTTGTTGCAAGCGTCAATTTTGAATAAAGTAGCTTTAATATTTACTGATTTATCGAAGATTTTGTATTTCTCTAAATTACCGTTATATGGGATGTGGGCGTGGTTATTGTCCGATTTTTTAAATTTTCGGCGATTTGGTATGTTATGCAAAGGCCAACAACTGTGCCAAGTTTGGAAGAAATTGTTGTAGCGGTTACCAAGATATACACATGTAACCATAAGTGGGCGTGGCTACGCCCATTTTCCAAAAATTTATAATATTCTTATTTCTCGTCTGAAAATGATTACAACTATCAATGTTGAGTGAATTATCTTCAGTAGTTACTAAAATATCGCAGTTTTCGTATTTCTGAAAATTACCGTTATATGGGAAGTGGGCGTGGTTACTGTCCTATTTCGCCCATTTTCAATACCAACCTACCTTGGATTAACAGAAACCTACATACCAAATTTCGTTGAGATATCTCAATTTTTGCTCGAGTTATCGTGTACACTGACGGACGGACAGACGGACAGACGGACGGACAGACAGACATGGCTTAATCGATTTCTCTATTCATTCTGAGCATATATGTATACATTTGTCTATATCTATCTCGATTCGATTTGGCTGTTACAAAAAACCGTTATGTGAACAAAATTAATATACCCTTGTGCACAAGTGCGCTCGGGTATAAAAAAAATATGTCAATTAGTATAAGTTACAAAAAAAAAGTTAAAAACAACTTTAAAAATATATGTATGTTAAATTTTGTAATCTCCAATGAAAAATCTCCACTAAATATACATACATATAAGTAAGTAAGTAATAAGAGCAACGGTGGCAGTTCTCAAATTTTACCTTTAAACAACGGTAAACACATATCTACATACGTATCTCATTACCAAGTAAATAGCCAAAATTATGCGCCAGGCTTACAGCATGAAAATGCTTGACCATTATTATAGATACTATATATTAGTATGGAGCTGGCGCTTTTTCATATACAACACGCGCACTAAAAAGCACCAACACAGCAACAAATGTTTTCTAAGTTTTCCCTATTACATGGGCATAAAATGTAATATAATTTAACAATGGCTATCAGCGCGACAATATCATAACACCTCCTTTCTTTTATGCTCCTCATGAATGCGCATTGAATCTTAATTTTGTCACGTCGTTTGCAGAGCCCAGAGGAGACGCTATTGAAACGTATTTAACAGAAATAAAACACAAAGTGAACAGAATGAGAATTACTTCGATTTTTGTAACAAATTTCGGGCTGCTGTGTAGAAATTTTGCATTCTTCAGACACACACCTTTATGCTAATTTTCCGATAGGAATGCATGAATACACCAATGTGCGGCATTGTCAATTCATGACACTAGTAGCATGCATCAAAATTCAGCTTACATTTAGCAATATAGCCAAGAAAGTTGCTGTGATATGTATGTGGGTCATTCGATACAATATTTACAACTCAATATTTTTTTTTTTTGGTGAAATATATATTTTTTTAGATTCTTTATCGAAAAAAAGACGACATAAATTTTTTTATTTCGATATGATATTCGAAAATTTCGAGAAAAATCACGAAATTTTGAATTCACGGAGAAGTATCTTTTTAATTGTTCGCAGTTAATATACTATTTCTCGGAGAAAATGAGTTAAGGTATCAAAATGTGCGTAATTACCTCGGCTTTCCAAGAGAGTATGAGATAGATTAAAATAAAAAGTTTTGCATTCGAAAATTGCATTTTTTTATTTTTTATTTATTTTTATTAACTATACCATGTTCGGTTTTTATTTTTTTCAATAGTTGAAAAACCTTATGGAGTACGCTGTAAAAATTTGAGAATGGAAACACCAAAAGTATAGATGTTACAAGTTTTTTCATACTTGCGTATATAAAGTTTCTTCTCTAGCCAAATGGTCTCTTGTGTCATTAACGGTTACTCCCGATTGACCAGGCATGCAGGGTAAAACAAGTCCGTTGTGTTTTCCAACATAATTATGTCAAATTTTGGAATTAATTTTGAAGTAGTTAGCGGGCTGCCTGTCTTTTGATTTTCCACCATTCTGATCCTGCATAAATTTTGGAGCCACCAGTAAATATGTTAAAATGTGTAAGTACGCTGTAAAAATTTGAGAATGGAAACACCACAACTACGCCCGTAGCCAGGATTTATTTTCGGGGATGGGGGGTTCTGGCAAAATATTTTAATTATTTTCACTTTTATTTCAACATATTTTGATTAAAAGAAAAATACTAATAAAAATTAAATATTTCACACAAACAACAAAAAATATAATCGATAATAGGATGAGGCTATTACCTTAAAACTTTAAAATGCACTTAGAGGCATTGTGCTACTATGATAGCACGGCCCAGTACTCATAGTCAAGTTATGTATATATGTACAGTAGACTGCATCACTCCAAGTAAAAAAAAAAAATCGGTACTATTTTTCCACTGGAATTA